GTATGTGTTAGATTTGTTGGCTAAAATACACAGGCTTGGAGCTAGACCTATTGATATTCCCATTGAGCAGAACCACAGGCTTAATGATGTAGATGGAGACCCATTAGATAAGGTGGGAAGATTTCAACGATTGGTTGGAAAACTGATTTACTTATCTCTCACGCGCCTGGATATTGCCTACATTAGTGTAATTAGTCAATTTATGCATGCTCCACATACACCTCACCTTGAGGTAACTCATCATGTTCTTCGCTACCTCAAGGGTTTATCTGGTAAGGGAATATTGTTTGGCAATCATGGCCACTTACGTGTTGAAGCCTATAGTGATGCTGATTGGGCAAAGTCTGTTACAGATCGACGATCTACATCAGGATATTGCACATTTGTTGGAGGTAATCTTGTTTCATGGCGAAGCAAGAAACAATCTGTAGCTAGATCTAGTGCAAAGGCTGAGTTCAGACCATGGCACTTGGAGTTTGTGAGTTGTTATGGCTACGTACAATGTTGGGTGAGTTGGGTTATCTTATTCACGAGTCAATAAAGTTATACTATGACAACAAGGCTGCTATTAGCATTGCCCACAATCCAGTTCAACATGACAGGACAAAGCACATTGAAGTCGATCGACACTTCATCAAGGAAAAGCTTCGTCTTGGGCTGATTTGTACCCCATATGTCAACACACATGATAAGGTTGCTAATGTTTTGACTAAGGGTGTGAGCAAGACTTGATTGCAAAATATGTTAGCCAAGTTGGGCATGATAGATATCTTTGCACCAGCTTGAGGGGGAGTGTTGTCACTTGTCAGGGGCTTATTTCTTATTACTTATATAATGTTGGAGCTTATGTGTAATTTCTGAAACTTGTTATTATAAATAGAATGTGGTGGAAGGATGAAAGTATTCTTTCATTCTTTCTCTCTTTCATCTTTCCCCATCTCTCTCTCTCTCTCTCTCTCTCTCTCACACACACACACATCCGTTTTCTTCTCTTTTTCTTCTTCTTTATCATTTACTCTTGATTTGATTATATCTCAAAGTCAACAACAACTAATGAAGAAGTAATTTCTACCGGCTAATAATGATCAGATTTTATTTCAACAGTACCAAAATTGTCGCCAGGGAAATCGTTTGGTTCGTGTCTATGCTGAAGAATTCTATCGGTTATCATCTGGCAACAATTTGTTAGAAACTGAAGCACAAGTAGTTACGTAGTTCAACAATGGTTTGCGGCTAGCTTTTCAGGACAACGTGATGTTACAAGCGTCTTCCACCCTTGATGCTGCCCAGTTGGATCGACAGTGTTCATAACCAGAATTTCGGGCGTCCTTCTACACAGCAGCAGACTGATTCCAATAAACCACCACCATCTACCATCAATCAACGCCAAGTCACAACTCAAAAAGTGGGCGTTGCAACAACTTCTCCTAGCATATCTGAAGTAACTGAGACTATTGCCAACAATATTTCTTCTGTTGAAGATAAGGTAGCTCCCAATGATACAAATGCTAACTCATCCCAAAATAATTTTCAGTGTGTAGTCAAACTTAAGGAACCAAAACCTTAAAGTTTATACACGTCATATGGACAGCAAAGAGAAACATCATTAATGGAGCACTTGGATTTGTTTTTAATTCTATCCAGAATCCTATAGTGGCACGTCCTCGAATTGCACTTCGTGTTCAAGGCCCAGTTTATGGGAATAGTGGAATACTTGTGTGACTTGTGTCTGAATTTAAATGCAGTTACTGTTGAAGAATTCAGCATTCCCGATTGTCTGCTCTTCAAGGAAAAATTCGTTGATGAATCTAGTAGTGGTCTTATTATTCATGAGGATGAAAAATTGTCAAAAGTTGCAAAGGCTTGATGTTTCAAAAAATTTCTTTTCTTTTGAGTTGCCAAGGGAGATTGGAAATCTGTCACAATTGGTGTTCTTTTGGGATTGGACAAGTAAGGAACAAGTTTATGAAACACCAAGGCCAAGTCGTCAATGGTATAAAATTTTGTTCATACTCTTATATGACCTGTAGCGAATTAACTTGCTGGATTATTATAAAGGGTTTTGAGTTTGAGAGCAGCCACTTGGTGCATAATTAGGTATGTCTTAAGTTTTGACCTTTTAACACCCTGCAAAGGTGGCAGGATACATACTGGGTATTGCACTAAAAAAGGGTTAAACTTATTATAATAATAGGACAATATTCCTTAATTGAGTGGATAATACGTTGCAGGCTGATTTGAAGTATTAAGTTTCTATCAAATTAATACTAAGACTATATGTCAATGAACAAGCATGAACAGTGCGCATGAAGGGTGTGTGAACAGTACGTGAACAGTGGTCGTGAAAAGCGTTTATTTTCATTGTTTTAATTTCCAAACAGTTTAGTTTCTGTTAAAGGAAAGTTTTCATTGCTTTAATTTTCTAAATAGTTTAGGGCCTTCTTAGGCCTATAAATACAGGTTATTGTAATAGTTTAGGGATCAGTTATTTCTTTATCTTTATCAATAACAGAAAATCTAGAGTTTCTCTCAACCTCTTCTCGTGGATTCGAGTGTTTAAAGAATACGTTAATATTCTTAATTATTTTCATTGATCCGCTACGTCACATAGGTAAAGAGAATATACAATAGCAAAAATAAACTATACAAAAAACAATATGGATATGAATAACTGAAAATCAACCGTATCATTAAATGATGCGGCCATACCAAGAGGAGAAGATCAAATTGTCTTCACAGCAATTTTGAAATGAAATAGAAGAACGATGCAAGAGGAAAGGAGAAATTGCAAAGAATTTCAAATCAAATTTTATTTGCTGTAAAATATAATAATAATCTCTTCAACTAAAGTGTAAACCCTAACAATTACAAGGCTTTATATAGAGTTTCTTCCTCCCCAATCCTAGCCTTATATTAGTTAACTACCAAATATAAAATCAAAATAGGAAAGCGGCTGAAAATCAGAAAACTACTCAAAAATGAAAGCGGATGAAAATCACAAAACTACTCAAAGTATGGAAAGTTTCTGAAAACACAAATTCCACTTGTAGAAATTTGAAATTCTGCGTGCATCAGTCTCCCCGGGTTGGAAAGAACTCGCCCTCGAGTTTGGAACAATTTTTCACGATTAATCAAAAATCCGAGCATGGCTTTCTATCCATTCTTTCTTCTTTTCCAAACTCAAATCAAATACGTTAATCTTTTTATACTAACAAAGATTACACTCGCATAATAAACATGGATTTTTCTAGATGTCCTTTGAAATTAGGTAGGTTTGCAAAACTCGGTGGAAAATGTATCTTGAAGTACTAGTGTAATCAACTTTAATTTTTCTTCCAATAATCGTCTAGCAGTTGTAGTACGCTCCAAGAATTCATCCCAAGTTATGTCATAAAAGTAAAATCCATTATTTTTCATCTCCATGGATCCAAAATCTTCATGATCAACCACGCATACTTCATCTTGAGATCCTTCTTTTGTAGCTTGTTTATCATCCTCATGTTTTAGAATCAATAGTGGCTTTTGCATAAACAAGAATTCACCTATACCACCATATATGATATCATCCTCTTCCTCTGGGTCATCATCATATTTTGGCTTCACCAGTGCGGTTGCATCATCTCCCTTGATCAAAAGTTGTTTTTCTTCTCCACTAAGATTTCCGACAAATTCAAGAACTTCCTCCATAAAGCCACCATTCCAACGCCATTCATCAAGTGGAATAGGTGTTGGTCTGGATGTTATGCTATTGCAAAAAGGATTGAAAAAAAAAATCCTCTTCAAGATTGTCCTCATAAAAATCAGAAATCTGGAAATTGATATTTGTCGGCCAACATTGATCAGTCCACTCGTCGAGTGATCTATAGCTACCCAAAAAATAGAATGAATTTTTTGCAATAGTCTCGATATATGACACATCATCATCCATCGAAACGTTGTCATCAACCAGCATGTTGTCAACACGTTGACCCAATAGTTGAGTCAACAACTCAACTTGTCTCCGCAAAAACTCTCACTCTTGTGTTGCTTGGGTAAGGATTCAACCAGATTCTGCATCCTACAATTTCCTCGGTTGTTGTCGTGGAGGCATGATCGAGCAGTCGGAAAGCCGAAACCTAAGCTCTGATACTAAACTAATGCTGCCTTACCAAGAGGAGACGATCAAATTGTCTTCACAGCAATTTTGAAACGAAATAGAAGAACAATGCAAGAGAAAAGGAGAAATTGCAAAGAATTGCAAAGCAAATTTTATTTGCTGTAAAATATAATTATAATCTCTTCAACTAAACTATAAACCCTAGCAATTACAAGGCTTTATATAGAGTTTCTTCCTCCCCAATCCTAGCCTTATATTTTTTTTTTTTTTTTGATAAGTAAGATTTAAATAAAAACGCTCAAAAAGGGGAGTGAAACCCAAAGAAACAAAAGGAACACAAGGGCCAACTATTAGCCAACTACCCAATCCTAAGCCTTATATTAGCCAACTACCAAATATAAATTAAAAATTAAAATAGGAAAGCAGCTGAAAATCAGAAAACTACTCAAAAAGGAAAGCTGATGAAAATCAGAAAACTACTCAAAATAAGGAAACTTTCAAAATATGGAAAGTTTCTGAAAACACAAATTCCACTTGTAGAAATTTGAAATTATGCCTGCATCATTAAATCTTCCACTATTAAGCATTCAGATCCACTACAAACTTGCACGCACTCTTAGAAGCATAATATTTACCATATCGACAAGGTCACATGCTACCCATGAGACCTTTAGAAATATCGAGGAAGCAAACAGATACAGGTTTTGGAATTGGGATAATCTGGTCATTGTGTATTTTATACAAATTACTTAAGGAAACAACATTTCAACATTAGATCACTAAACAAAGCAAAATTACCAGCCACACTAGTAGCATTCAAGTACAGAAATACGTTATATACTTGTTTTCTCTCACTAAAGGTCCAAGACTAATTATTAACTCCAAAACTTAAACAAGTGCAAACCTGGCATGATCTTTCAATGCTCTGTTCACTTGTTGCTGTGCAGTGCGCTTAACTTCATCAATTGTCATCTAAAAGGAAAAGAACACCAGTAAAACAATAGGACAAAAATGCCAGCTGGAATAAAAACAGGGGCCAACACACCCTCAATGAGGTCAAGACAAGCACCTCTACATGATGCTGATGAATTCAATTAACAGAAGTGGTCAATGCTAATACATTTTCTTTTATCAGGTCATTCTTCAAATTACAAGCAGTGAGAACACAATTTCGAATCACAGTATTGGTGCCAGTATCAATAACGGCTGTGATTTGTAGTATCAGGAAAAATACACAAGGGAATTTGGAACCCAAGTCAACTTCACAGGGATAAAATCTTTTAAGAAACTTAACAATATGCAAGTTTAAATTCAGTCCTCCACATACTGATGTATGGTGACATTTACTGACATCCTGGACATGTTTTCTAAATCATAATTAACAATTTAAAAATATTTGAAACAATCTTTAGTAGAAAACATTCATTTCAAATGTTCTTGCGAACTTTCACTACCTTTCATACTAGGATCATAGTTAGATGATTATAATGAAAATGATAAACAAAAGATTTTGAAACAATTCACAACAATCCACTTGGCAGTGAAATTAACATCGCATTATTCCCTCACAGCTTCAAACATACAGATTACTAACATGCAAAATGACATTGCAGATCTTGTTTAATCAAACTGGTAGGATTACCTTAATAATAAAAATTTACTTGCATGGTTACACCAAATTGATCATGTAGTGTTTCTACCACAAACAAATTTGATTTTAGTATCTCTAAAAAGCTAGCTCTTAATCATACCATTGAGCGATACTTTTTCACCTCACAATGTGGAAATCCAGATTGAATATAAAATTTCAAAGCCATAGAAAAAGAGAACCAGACAAAAAAATTGGACATAACAAGCCACTACTTATTGCAATAAAATCCGGACTTCTCACTGAACTTCCAATTGCCACCAACTCCAAGACTCTTATCAGAATCTTACTGAAACATTCCAGAATTCATAACTATAATCAAGGATTGTTGGCCAAGGATTGGACCATCTTCTTTTGCATTGCCCCATGGCCAAGGATTGTTGGGATTTGATGCTTGGCTTGTTTGGGTTCCAATGGGTCATGCCTCACTCCGCCAGAGAGTTGGTTGAGGCTTGGAGAGGGTGTTTTGTGGGGGGCCATGTTCGTGATGCTTGGAGGGCTACTCCTCTTTGTGTGTGGTGGTGTATTTGGCTTGAGAGGAACAGGAGATATTTTGAGGGGAAGGAGAGGCCTATTGCTTTTCTTAAGTTCTCTATTGTTTCGACTCTTTTTTGTTGGGTCTCAGGTAGAGATTATAGATCTTTAGATGAAATAGTTGATTTTTTGGCCTCTTTAAAAGTGTAATGGCTGTTTTGGCCCCTTTTTGTTCCCTTGGGATGCGCTCCCCTTTTGAGCACTTTTTATAAATTTCTTACTTATCAAAAAAAGTATAATCAACCAGAAGTTTCATATATCTTTGTACTCCGTAGTCACTGGGATAAAGTTAAACACCTTGACTAGAATTTCTTTAACATAACAATGACATATTGCTCGAATCATACCTGCACAGCAGCAGCAGTTTCCAAAGCTATGGTCTGACTAATAGCAGCATTGCTCTCAAAAAAACTGGTAATTTGATCAATGGAATCCTTCAGATACTGGTAAAAGGCATCTCATTAGTTAAATAGCTCAATTTCTTTGAAGGCAAACTTTTACAGAAAACAGGATGATTGCGTACAGTCACATAACAAGGAGAAGCTTTAGCAACCATACTCCAATCCACATTAGCATCAAATGGCTTATAGCAAAAGACACCAACTAAAGAGTCATAGGTACTCGCACTCTGCATGAAGATGAAAGAAACAAATTAAGGTTTCTAAAAACACTTGAGGGCAGCCATGACCACCTTACTGAGAGATGGGGAAAATGAAAATGAGCGATTTTAAGCACAGAAAGTAATCAGACCTCCGCAAGGAGACCGTTTGGTGATGACAACTGATATGAACCCAATTTCAAGTCAAAAACTTTTGCCTCGGGATAAAGCTTTATAAAGCAATCAAGATTTTCACAGGATAACTCAGCAAGACACTCCAGCACATCAGTAAGCTTTGAAGCATTATGTTTCATGTGAACCTCCAACGAAGTGTGAAGCACATCCCCCTTGTCTTGGGTTGTCAGCAACTGCCCATCATCATCTTCCTTGTACCCAATGATTTTGTTTAATTGTTCCCAGTCCTCCTCAGTAAAATACCCTGGTTCACTTTCATCGTTAACAGCTTGACTATTCCTGAAAGAGTACACGCAATCAATTAAAAGCTGAAAGCTGACCCAAGTCCAAACAACTGAGAGAATTCCGAAGTGAATCAGTCTTAAAGGTAAAAATATTCACCATCCAAATGACCACCATGATTTCTTTGCTTTCTGTTTTTTCAAGTAAAGGTCTGACTCCATTGACTGCTCTACAAACTTGTGGGCCAACATTCTGTGCAACAATAGGTCTATCAAACATAACTATCTGCCAAATTGAAGTTAGTTGGGCCAATTGATAAAATACATATTACTTTTTTCAGTAGTATAGTGCCAAAATGTAAATGATTCCATAAAGCTACAGAAAAGCAAAGCAGCTGCTACAATCTCCTCCCACCACAGGGCAAAAGAAAATTAATAATAAATAAATAAACCCAACCACTTACTTGCCTTATTGGGGGAAGGAAGAAAAAGAAAAATTAATGGAGAAAAATAGAAAAGCTACTTCCCCTTACTTAACTAGGGCGAGCACTAGCGTACGGATTGACTTGATTGAATCTGACTCGACAATTTCACACATGAAACTAAAATTACACAACCAAGTTAAAAAGGAAAACAAGAACATATATCAAAACTAACATTAGAATTTCTAGCTACTTCAAAGAGAGAGAAAAAACACTAAATTTATGGGATGCCACAATAATTGTATCCAAACACACACCACCTTTTTTGACTGATTGATCTCATTATAATATTCTCAATCAATAAAATAATTTTTATCATAGAAGAACCACACAGACACTATGCAATTATAAGATCCAAGATTCCCCAGTCCCACCCAGTTTCATTACCCTGGCAAAGCATGAACTACATATAATATCAGCTAATCATATGGTGACGTTAATAAATTTAAAACAGAAAAAGAAAATAACCTCCACTGAAGTATGAGTTCAATGTCAAGTTCACGATCTAGCTCCTCAATGTCTTTGTTGTCATCGACTACTTCCCGACTGACATCAGCTTTCAGCAGTGCAGCGTAGAGAGAAACATATCTCTTACGTAGGCTTGCATACCTCAGGACCTGTTCCCATGACAATTTCCCACTGCCACGAAAGATTATGTTCATAGCTCACAGATAATTGAGAAGCAATATACTTAAGAAAATAATATGATTTATTCGAACAAAAAATTCTGCAAGGCTTTTTTCCTCTCCCCCCTCAACAAAGAATGAAGACATTAAAACTACACGAGTAATTAAAGTAGCAGCAAAAGAGGAGCACCAATTCATAACAATGCCTTTTGCAGCAGAAAGTTGACATTAGAAATCAAACTCTTTACAGACCAAAAGTTCAGTTACAAATTGTGTGACCATGTATGAGAAGGGGAGTGAAATAACAATTGCAAGTATGACTAAATATGGAACAATGTGGTCTAGACAATACAAAACCTTGTAAAGTAGTTGACCTGCGTCCAAGCACAAGGCAACAAAAGCCAATTTCCTCGAATAACAAGTTTTTTCTTCTATTTTTTTTCCTTTTTTTTAATTTCAGGCTGACATCGATCAAATACGCTTGGTGGCAAAATGTCAATGTCATGTACCAAATGTGAAGCACTTGAAACGAAGGATAAGAAGTCACCTAGCTCATCACTTGAATTTGCTAGAAGATTGTAAGGACCGATTTTCTTTTTCCGATTTTTTCCCTTTCTTTTCAATGTGCGGTTGCATGATTAGCAACTTGTGGGGAATATGTTTTGGAGTGTTTGGGATTTTTTCCTAGCCTTTCCTAGAGTTCACGGACTCTTAGAAACGCTTTCGGGGCATTTCTTTTATGTCGGGTAAGTGGGCCCCGAAAGCTGGCCAGGCACGAGCCAAGTGCTCGGGATTTATTTTCGACACTATTCATTCATTTGGGGCCACATTGGGCATTGTGGATTTAGTGTGAGACATACATCGTGGACGACTCCTTACCTTAGAACATTCTACTATTCCTCTCCTTCCAAATGCACCACCACACGCAATGTGGAACTATCCTCCAATAGTCGCGAACACTACGTCTCACATGACATCCCCTCCATGCCTGAATTAGACCCTTAGAAGATCGGGGCATTACCCAAAGCATGCTAAATAAACCAAGTATAAGATTCCAGCAGTCAAACGCCACAGGGCAATGCAGGAGGAGATGATCAACTGACTCACCACCTCGTTTGCACGGGCAACACCAATTAACGATACAGTTGCCTCTCTTCCTCAAGTTGTCAATCGTCAGGATCTTACCCCATGCAACAGTCCATACAAAGAATGCCACTCTAGTTGGAGCAATAGAACGCCATATGGTCTTCCATGGAAAATCAAAGCTATCAAAGTTAGATAGGCATAGGATCAAGGATTATACTTCAAATCGACCATGGGAAGAGGGGATCCACATAAGATCATCACTACCTCTACCAACTGCCTCCTGCCGATACAACAGTTCCAAAAGAACACATACCTCGTCCATCTCCCAATCCTGAAAAGAACGCCGAAAGTGCACGTCCCACATAATCCCACTACTATCAAGCCGATAACAATTAGCGATACAGGCATGTTTATCAACTACAATATTGTATAATCTGGGAAAGGTACAAGATAATGGCTAGTCACCGCACCATAGATCCTCCCAAAATCGAACACATCTGCCATCACGAACTTTGAATCTGATGTGGGAAGAGAAAACATCACAACCCTTCCGAATGGATTTCCACACACCAACTCCTCCCACAATAGAAACCGGACGAGTAGACCAACCGCCACTCCTTCTCCCCAAAACGACATGAAACAAGTCTTCACCAAGGACGATGCCTTTCCCTCCCGAATCTCCTTAACCATTTACCCAAGAGAGCTTAATTAAAGGGAACCAACCTCCTGATACCCAGACCACCCAACGTCATGGGCTAGCAAACTTGCTCCCATCTGACAAGGTGATACTTAAACTCTTCGCCCTTTCGCCCCAAAGGATATCCCTTTGGATCTTTTTAATCCTTTCGGCAACAGAGCATGGAATTTGGAACATAGATAAAAAAATAAGTGGGGAGACTTGATAAAGTGCTCTTTATAATAGTAACTCCCCCCTCCCCCCTTCTCTCTCTCTCTCTCTTCTCGGACAGATATTGCTTCTTCCATCTTGCCAATCTTTTCACATAATTGTCAATCACAGTGTCCCAGCTCCCCCCCCCCCCCCCCCCCCAAGGGGCAAGCCGAAGTAAGGAATGGGAAAAGAACTCACCCTACACCCAAGGACTGCAGCTAAGGAGGAGATATCCTGAACATCCCCAACCGGGACAAGCACGCTCTTAGCCACGTTGCCCTTTAACCCAGAAACCGCCCAAAATGCACCTCAAGTATCTAAGTTGAGATACATCAACATCACAAAAAACAAGGGTATCATCCGAAAATAGTAAATGAGAGATCTCCAACTGATGGACTAGATCTCTGCCCACAATAAAGCCCTTGATAAGACATCCTCTACCCTCCTCATTAGTCTGCTCAAACCCTCCATTACAATGAGGAAAAGGAAAGACGACAATGGATCTCCTTGCCTTAAACCCCGAGAACACCCAAAGAAATCAACAGGAGACCCATTCACAAGAACAGAAAACTTTACAGACAAAAGACATGTCTCTATCCATTTCCTCCATCTGCTTCCAAACCCCATTCTCTGAAGTAAGTACAGCAGGAAGTTCCAATTCACATGATCATAAGCTTTTTCAATGTCAAATTTGCATAAGACTCCGGGGACACCACTTCACAGTCTGGAATCCACACATTCGCCTGCAATAAGAACTGAATCTAATATTTGCCCTCCTCCGACAAAAGCGTTCTGGGAGTCCGAAATAATCCCATCCATGACATCCCTCATCCTAAGAGCAAGAACCTTGGCCATAAGTTTGTAAATACAACCCACTAGGCTAACTGGTCTGAAATCTTTAATGTCAGAAGCACCACCCTTCTTAGGGATAAGGGCAATGAATGAGGCATTTAACGACTTCTCAAAGACACCAGTAGAATAAAACTCCTGAAATGTACTCATCACCTCGTTTCTCACCACCGCCCAACTTTCCATCAAAAACCGCATGCAACCCCGGAGCTTTGTCCCCCTTGCAACTTGATAAAGCCTTTAGAACTTCCTCTTCAAAAAAAGGAATCTCAAGCCCATCTCTATCCAACTCAGAAATAGCCTCAAAATGGAGGCCATCAATCTCAGAAAAATCAGCAAGGACTCTATTCTTCCTCCATTCTAGATTCCCAAATACATCCTTATTCCACTTCTTCAGCTCAAGTTTGAGAGCCCTTAACTTCCTGGCTAACATAAAGCTGGACGAACCTGTAACCATTGCTTCCTCCCACCAAGACAAAAATTTCCCTTGGAAGTCCTCCGCTCTCAGCCACATATTCTCAAATCGAAACGGAGAACATCGAGAAATCAACCCCCCACAATCCAAAACCAGAGGAACATTTTTTATTTTTTTTTTATAAGTAAGAATTTTATAAAAAACGCTCAAAAGGGGAGCAAAAACCAGAGGAACATAATCAGCGGTGACCCTTGCTAAAACTACCTAAACAGTATCCGGGAATTTCTCTTCCAACACCCCAGAGATCAAAAACCTACCCAACCTCGATAAAGTAAATGGGTCCCTGCCATTAGACCACATATTGGTTGCACCTTCCATTGGTAAATCAATGAGAAAATGCTCATCAATAAAGTCAAAAAACTGAACCATATCTGAAGACCATCTCCCCCCTGTAGACCTCTCTAATGGGATCTAACAAAATTGAAATCCCCGCCCAAGCACCAAAAAAGAGACCACAGTCCCTGAACATAGCAAAGCTCCTCCCAAAAAAAGAGGTTGATCACTATCAATAACCGGTCCGTAAACCCCAGAGAAAACCCATCTAAAATTGTCCTCCTCCATCTTAAACACACAGGACACAAAGAACCTCCCCATCCACACGTCCATCCAAGACAACCATCTGCAATCCCACATAACTAAAATTCTTTATTAGAAATGGATGCCAACTTAGTTTCTTGCAAACAAACAACTTGGGCTCCCCACTTCCTTAAAGCTACCTTTACCACCCTCCTATTGTCCGGATCATTGAGACCATGAACATTCCAAGTAATGCTTCGTAGCTTTATTAAGAACCAGATAAAATTATCTCCCCTCCTCCCCTCCTTACACTCCTACTTCTAGTCCTTCCCCTCTCCCTCACCGCCCCTCTCTTCCCTTCATAGTTGACATAAGAGATAAGATTCTTGACATCCTGCTCCCCTTTCCAAGACGAAAAAGGCCTTGTATTCACAACCTCATTAGTCACTGCAACCTCTCTTCCTTCCACAATTGCATGAAGAATGGATAATGCCTGGTCACTATTACCCTCTAATGAGACACCCAACAGCTCACTAGTAGCTTCTATATTTGCGACAACCCATTCCTTGCCCATATCAGCAGCCATTTCAGAACAACCAGGTCGCACGACAGCTAATGGTTCCTCCATTACTAAATTAGTATGGTCGGTATGCAACCATGGAACAAGCTCGTTAAAAGAAACCTGTTAAATGGAAACCAAGTCATCAATCACCTCCTATGTGCTATCTCTTCCATTTACAGGCAGCTCTGTTATCAAATCCGTATCTGTAGCATAGTCACCCATTCCATAACTCAAGAATCTGATAGACTCATTCGCCTCTACTCCTACAAGTGGCAAGCAATTAAAGCCTTTCAAAGCTACACAGAGACACAACTCTTTGAGCAAAGCCAAAGCCGAATCATTAGACAACTAAAAATGAAGATCGCGCCCCACCCAGACCATAACACCCTCAGACGAGTCCTTTACAGCACAAGTAACTGGGTCAACATGCCCAAGAAGAACAGGCCCATAGCCACCCTTCCCTTCCGTAATCAATCCAGGCTCAAATATAGGCACCGAAGGCACAACTGGTAACACACAACCCTTCTCCATCGCCTTCTCAGCATCACTCCTCAACACCCCACAAGAAGGAGTAAAAGAAGAAGAAGGAGCAGTAGGAAAGCTCCAAGGGTGAGGGGTAGAGGACATACATGGGTCGTTGATAGAAGGGGTGCGTATCCACTTATGTTTATCTTTTCTAGACCATCTGTTACCATAGCGAAGCATGTGAAAACCCCGAGTTGAGAATCTAGAGTTTCTTTCCTTCGGCAGTGCAAGGATAGAAGGAAGAGACGCTACGGATAAAGCAGCGCAACACTGATTATGTCAAAAATTCCTCTCATCCAAGCTCAAACCAGCCTTACCTGCACTGATCTGCATCCATCTCCTTTTCTCCGGCGAAGTCCACAAACTGTTTGCAGAAGAGCCATAAGAAAGACTCTGTGGAGGTTCTGTATTGCTAGGCTCTATCATAAACTTTGGACTGGGCTTTGTATTTGGAAAAGAAATGGAAATAAGGTTATTGGGCCCCATTTAACCTTCCACTTTAAATCATTAAATCTTGTGGCCCAATACATGGCATAGTCCCAAAAATCGTGGCCTTATCAGGCCCAATACGCATATCAGGCCCAGCGTTAACTGCATGAGAGACGCCTGTTGTACCGCGTGTCAGTCCACGTGGTTGGCCTCCGACGTTCCGTTCAAAACAAGGTGAGCCAGAAAAGGAATGGAGGGGGGCGTTACACGTGCATCTCGCAGACTTTCTTCCCCCACTCGCGTACGGTACACCTGTTGTACCTCGTGTCCTTAACACGCCGTAGTCCTTGAGGGCCGAGATGTACCTGCAACTGCCGTGAACGGTGACTGCGTCCATGTCTCGTATCGTTGGGTAAAAGAGGAGGGGGGCGGGGGGGACCTTCATTGTCGTAAGAGGACTTCGGAAGCATGAGTGGTGAGGATTCCTCCGTCAAGGCGACCTCAAAGGCCACCCTCCGGTATCACACCTCCGGCAAAAGCGTAGAGAACAACTCTCTCACCTACTATCATTCCACCTCCACACATCCAAAACCACCACAAAGTTCTCCTAGGGATTTGAATAGCTTCTGGCACCATAGATGGAAAGGTAAGCCGTACATCACCACCCTTCTTATCCCATCTCTTGTTCTCACCGCTAAGCATCCCACCGCGAAATACAAGACATCAATTGATAGGATAGCGTCTCCCCATGTCTTCTTCCCTGAAACCAAAAACCCTATGTGCCTCTTCCTCCTAAGGTAGTTGGAATAGAAGCAAACCGTCAAGCAGGGATGACACCACCACCCCACTCAATATCTTCCAAATCTTAGTTGCCCACGTCTCAATCCTATCAATGCTTCCCACGTCTCGATCAAAACGTCCGACTAGGCATGATTTCAGAGCAGATTCGCGAATCTTTGTACTTTGATTATCAACCCTAAACACCCTTTCCTTTCCAATTGAGAAACTTTTGATCTCGCCATTGAAATTAAGGTGTGGAAGTGTCGCCACACCAAGGAAAGACCGACGCATATCACAGATCCACACTAGACAAAAGTAAAGAATAGAATCAAAGGACACTAGAGTAGATGACTCCGGCGTCTAAGAAGGTAGAGAGAAAGAGAACTATAGGTCTGTTCCAACTAAAAAAATGTAATGATTTTTACTAATAACCGACACAGGTTACTTTGAGGAGAAGGAATCAGGTGGTGGTCAATTGTTGTTGCATGTGCCTTCGTGCGGAGGAGACGGTGGATCACCTCCTTTTGCACTGCACCATGGCTAGGGACAGTTGGGATTTGATGCTTGGTTTGTTTGAGGTTTAATGGGTCATGCCCAAATCCTCCTGAGGGTTAATTGAGGCTTGGAGAGGTTGTACAGTGGGTGTCCAAGTCCGGGATGCTTGGAAGGTTACGCCTTTGTGTATCTGGTGGTGTATTTGAATCAATAGGAACAGGAGATCTTTCGAAGGAAAGGAAAATCCTATTTCTATGCTTAAGTTCTCTATTATCTCCACTCTTTTTTATTGGGTTGTGGGGAGCAATTATACATCTTTAGAGGAGTGTTGATTTTTTGGACTCTTTGAAAGTTTAGAGGTCCTTTTTGGCCTTGTGTAGTTCTTTTGGGCTTCACTCCCCTTTTGAGGGCTTCTATACAATTGTCTTGCTTATAACAAAAAAAATTATGTACCAACCTAGTGTTTTCAATTTGAATGCAATTTGAATTTTGTATGTTGATAAGAGTTTAAATGATACCTTACCTAAATCGGTTAAATCATATTTTGGATCTTTAATAATAGTTAAATTACTGTTGAGCAATGATTTGATCTGTGATGAATCTAAGAGAGTATATCTCCATATAGAGTTGTGTTTTGGAACATATAAGTGAATTCACAAATATCGTCATATAGAGCTATGTTTTGGAACATGTAAGTGAATTCAAAAATATGTTCAATTTGATCATTACCTCACCATCTTTCCGATCTATAAATTGAGAGAGAGAGAGAGATGGATTAAAAGATTAGGCTCCACAAATCACAAGCGATAATTTTTTCACAATTATCTATCTGACCTTTTGGGTAATATTATGATCAAAACACAATTAAAAAAAAAAAAACAAGAGTATAATTGTCAACAAAAGGGCATCATTGCCATTCGACTTCAAATAAACTAATGTGACTTTCACAGTTCATTTTTTAACATCTACTACATGGCAAGGGGGTAATTGCAGTATTCCAGAGAATTATAAGAGGGTTTCTCACCAAACTAATTGTCCAAGGGGTATTTTTCACAGAACTAGCAGTTTTAAGGGGGGGGTTCTACAATTTTCTGTGATTTCAATTATGAAGGAATTGCTCAGATGGTAAAACATTCAGGTCACCATGTAAGAAATGTATTCCTTTAAGCAGATTCAATCAACTGATATACGACCATATCCTTCATATTCTAGTGTGTGCATATATTTAAAAAGAGAAAAGTCTTCAAAATGCAGCATTTTGTGCACATACTGTTAAATTTTAGATCTGATCCCAGTCTACACTCTCAACGCCTTAGATTAACGAATACCTTACTGGGTCCAATCCTTTTTCAATTTAGCCCAGTTGGTAGGAGCAAAGAGCGGGAGGAAGGATATGGGATAAGGAAAAGAGTTTCCTATATGATCACCATTTCCTTTCTGCCAAGAGGTAGACACAAAAGAGGATGGAAAGAGAAAAACCATTTTATTAATATTTTTGCACTTCAAACACACCTGTATCAATATTTAAGGATAAAGTATCAACAGTGTAAAAGAACTTTCGACCATTCTACTCAACCATAAGAACAGATATTACCTTTTCCTAAGGGAACATTCAATGCAACAAACTAATGGTGCCTTGACAAGTGTCTTCTTATTTAATAAGGTCAAAGTTCATCTTCATTTCTATAAAAAAGTATTAGTTAAGGTTTGAAATAAGTAATAGCTTAGGGAAGTAGTAGACGCTTTATTAATGCTGTGTAGGAATTCTAAAGTCACACTAGAAAAAAACAGAGGCTTAGTAGTATTATTATAAAAAAGGACAGCCCTTTTCTCTAATGTAAGAAATCTTTATCAATATAATTTCAGTATAATGTAAGTTGATATTCTTCAGGCTTCTTCCAGATTTCCCTTCAAAAATCTAGGGTCCAACGGCATTTGGTATAATTCAAGTCTTCCTTACCCTGTAAGTGTAATTTTTATTTTTATTTAATTTCTGTTTGCTCCAACCTTTTCAAATATCCTACCTAGCATTCCTCTCAAATTCCCATTCCTACATCCAAATGGAGGATTAGGAACCAGTCACTTACCAATAGAAACTAAAGAGGCTTCGATAACCAAAAGTCATAATTCTTAGTAACGCAGTAAAATAACAGAGCAAGACTAATGGGAAAAGGAAGTAGAAAAGAACAGTTAGATACCTCGCCTTTTTCATCTGGTCAGACACAACTTTGTAAGCATACTTCCACCAAGACCTAGGATCGGATTTCACAGAGACAACTGGGCGGTAATGAGCATATTTCAAGCGTTGATTAAATGCAGCAAAGTTATCAGCTAATTTTAATATATCCCTGTAACCGTTCTGCAATTGCAAGATCATTTAATTCATACAACATCATTACAGATCTCTCGGCCTTAGAACAACTACAGAGAGGTTAACAAGTACAACCTTCGATAAACATAGTGTCACATCATCCAAGTTCACTGCTGCTTTCTGGAGAGGTTGACCACTATTAACAGATACATTTGGCCGCAGTTTTGAGTACTTTGCATTTCCAGTCACCGGTTGCAGAATGTAGGTGTGTTTTTTAATAAGATCATCAGCCGGCTTACCATCCTTCGTGCCAAATTTGAAAACCTGAGGCCCATAGGAATACAATCATGAACGAGTCCAGAATACAGACATCACATGCAAACCATAGGAATACAATCATGAACGAGTCCAGAATACAGACATCACATGCAAAATGGTTACTATATCAAAAAGAATGTACCTGAACCCATTCCAAGGGTAGTAAATCCCCCCATGGTTTGTCTACATGCCATGGACAAATATCAGAATCCAAATAAACAGCTAGCCGTTCAAGCTCAACAGACTGTTGAATGATGATTACAAAATAAAATAAAAAATAGTTAATAGCAAGAAAGAAGTAGGGGGAAAAAAAATATTCAGCAAGGATGCGCGCCGGGGGGGGGGGGGGGGGGGGGGGGGGGTTGGGGGTTTGGTGTTTGAGGGGTACAACTAAGACGGAAACAAAGTAAGATTTGACATAAACATAAGATCTGGTAAATGACGAACACTGGAAGATCATCTCATAGCACAAGGACAAGAAATCGTATGCAAATGAACAAATTCAATCATCACCATACACAATAAGATGCAAACCAGCCAAGCTGACCACCCCAACGATTATTTGCTATGATGATGTAGTAATATAAGGATCAAGTACATCATTTCTTAAATATACATATAGTAAAAGTAACATAAGCAACCTTCTGAATACGCTCTAGTGCGCCCCCTGTAACAAACGTCTCCTTCCCACTATCATCAACTGTCACCGCCGAGAGTTTCTCCAGGGTTACACCAGCTGCAAATGGGTGACCAGGATTGCTACAAAATGGAAATCATAAATGTCCATCCCAAATTAATGAAGTACAAAAGATGTCATCCAATGTTAATTACCTCTCAAGATCCTCATATCTGATATGAACATTTGAAATGGAAAGCTTCAAGTTCCCAATTATTGTGTTAATCAAGGACCCCAGCCACGATTTATTCTTTAAAGACAAACAAAATAATAAGGCTGTCAAAACCATAACCAATATACACGTAGGATTCCCAGAAAATGATGTCAAGTACACGAGAGAACAATTCTTTTTTCATGAAGTCAGGCAGAAGATACGATTTATCAGCTGTCATTGTTCACAAAAAAGCACCAAATTCCAAGGCAAAATGCAAGAATAACAAAAGGCCAATAGAAAGATCAGAGGAAGTAGATAACTCCGGAACAGTACATAACATGCCTTTTTGTGAAAATAGTGTTTCACCAAATAACTAATATAAGTGATCCAATAGAATTCAAGGGCAAAGGCCATTACATGACAGGAGGTTAAATAATATAGTAGTTAATCCTTAGATGTTACTTTATCTCTCTCTGTGTCTGCTAATTTTTTGTTATCGTATTGTGTGCCTCAAAGTTCTTGAAAGTACCTAGGCACGTTGCGAAACCAGTAACTATGTGTCATTTATTTATCCCCTCAACAGCGACAAGAACCACACCCCAGTACATCTATTTGGCACAAAAAATATCACATTGGAAGTGCAAATATAAAAATTATTCATTTTCATCCAACTCTTCCATGTGATCCTAACCCTGTCGCAGAGTTCCGCCACTATCCAGATTAAGCAGAATAATGCATCCACATTCATAACCCAGAGTGAGTATTGAAGATTTAGTGGAGGAATCACTGGAGGAAAATCGTCCAGTAATTGATGTTGTTTCCTATTACTGAAGATTTACTGTTGCTAGAGGAATCAGTGGAGGAAAATACTCCGTGCTTCCTATTTTCTATCTCATTCTGTTCTCGTCATTTCTTCTCCTATATAGAGGAACCTCCAAACCATTGTATTGTGTATGAAAAGAGAGATTATAATGGAATATATGTAGCCCGCTGGGCTCTTTGTGACGTGGACGTAGGCCCTAGTGGCTAAACCATGTAATAGTTGTATATTCTTGATGGAGGCCAAGGCTTGATGACCTTCATTTTGACTCTATTTCTGTTTTGGAAAGGGATGGGCGGGAGGTTCCTTTTTCGTCGGAGGAGGTGCTGAAGGCTCTTAAGAGTTGTAATGGCGATAAGGCTCCAGGCCCCGATGGTTTTACTATGAGATTTTTGCTGGAAAGTTGGGAGGTGGTTAGGCTTGAGATTATGAGCACTTTTCATGAGTTTCATTCCACGGGAAGATTTGAGAAATCACTGAACGCATCCTTTATTACCCTTATTCCTAAGAAGGGTGGTGCTTCTAATGTCAAGGACTTCAGACCAATTAGTCTGATTGGGTGTATCTATAAGATCATTGCGAAAGTCCTTGCGCTTAGGCTGAGGGAGGTGCTTGATGGAGTTGTTTCTGAGTCTCAGAATGCCTTTATTGGGGGTAGACAGATTCTGGACTCGGCTCTCATTGCCAGTGAATGCGTGGATTCTAGACTTAGTAGTGGTGTTCCTGGTGTTCTTTGTAAGCTGAATATCGAAAAAGCCTACGATCATGTCAGTTGGAATTTCCTGTTGCATTTGTTGGAAAGGATGGGTTTTGGTGCGAAATGAAGGAAATGGATTACTACATGTGTTTCCACTGTCAGATTTTCGATTTTGGTTAATGGGTCTCCTACAGGATTCTTTGGTAGTTCTCGAGGTCTGAGGCAGGGGGATCCTCTTTCCCCATTTTTGTTTATTATTGTTATGGAGGCCCTTAGTAAGCTGATGAGAAGGGCTGTGGATTTGGGGTTTATTAGGGGTTTCAAGCTCGGCCCTGAATCGGTTCAGCAGATGGAGATTTCTCACCTTCTTTTTGCGGATGATACTATTGTTTTCTGTGAGGCAGAGGTGTCCCAGTTGCAGCATTTGAGATGTGTTTTGGTTTGCTTTCAGGCTGTCTCTGGTCTGAAAGTCAATGTGGGTAAAAGTGTGCTTGTCCCTGTGGGGGAGGTGCAGGATGTGGATTCTCTGGTTGCTATTTTAGGCTATGGGACGCAACGCTTCCCTATTTCTTATTTGGGTCTACCGCTGGGGGACTCAGCAAGGTGGGAAGTTGGGACCCAGTGATTGAGCGGGTCGAGAGAAGATTGGCTGGTTGGAAAAAGCAATATCTCTAAAAGGGTGGAAAAGTCACATTAGTGAAGAGTGTTTTGTCAAGCCTTCCAACATACTCTCTCTCTTTTTAGGATTCCAGCCTCCATTGTGGAAAGACTGGAGATGCTCCAATAGAATTTCCTTTGGGGGGGTCGTGGGGAGGAGTTTAAATATCATCTTGTCAAATGGGATCAGGTTTGCAAGCCTCTTCAGCTTGGTGGTCTCGGAATTAGAAGACTGGCCCCTTTCAATAATGCTCTTCTAGGCAAGTGGCTTTGGAGATTCGGCAGTGACAGACATAGATTATGGAGAAAGGTCATTTCTTGTCGTTTTGGGGAGGAGAGAATGGGGTGGTCAGCTAGGCCTGCTAGGGCTACTTATGGTGTGGGGGTGTGGAGGTCCATTGGGAAGGGGTGGGATGAATTCTCCTAACACATTAGATTCAGAGTTCGGGATGGAAGATTTGTCAGGTTTTGGGAGGATTCCTGGTGCGAAGATAGGCCTTTGGCTCTGTTGTTTCCAAGATTGTTTAGGATTGCTGTTGACAAACATGCTTTGGTTGCTGACTGCTATCATCTTGATAGCGGGACGTTGTCTTGGGATGTGCGATTCAGGCGACCTTTTCAGGATTGGGAGTTGGATGATGTCACTGGCTTGTTGGCCCTTTTGTATAGACAGGAATTGGATGGCACTGGTGTGGATTCCTTGTTTTGGGTGCCTTCTTCTAATGGGATGTTCCAGGTCCGGTCATTCTTTGTGCGCCTCTCTGGGTTTCATGGGTTGCCCTTCCCGTGGAAGACGGTGTGGCTCTCTAAGGGGCCCCTTAGGGTGGCCTTTTTTGTGTGGACTGTAGCTTGGAGTAAGATTCTGACTTTGGACAATTTACGGAAGAGAAGACATATCATTGTTAACCGGTGTTGTCTTTGCAAGTGCTTTGGGGAATCCGTGGATCACCTTCTGCTGTATTATCCTGTTGCTTATGAATGTTGGAGTCTTTTGCTTGGTTTGTTTGGCATCCATTGGGTCATGCCTCAGACTTCTCGAGGATTGCTAGATATCTGGAGGGGCCAATGGGTGGGGGCTCAGGCTAGAGACTTCTGGAGGGTGACCCCTCTTTACGTCTGGTGGAGTTTTTGGAAAGAGCGGAACAGAAGATCTTTTGATGGGAAGGAGTCCTCTATTGGAGAGCTGAAATTTTCTATTATTTGTACCCTTTTTTGTTGGGGTTGGGGGAGGGATTATTCTTCTTTAGAGGACATTGTGGACTTTTTGGGTTCTTTGAGTTCATAGATTCTTTTTGTGTATATCTCGGGACACGTTCCCCTTTTGAACGCTTTCTAATACATTTTACTTATCAAAAAAAAAAATATTCTTGATGGGGAACGGGGTATGATTCGCACACATGAGTTGCACGTGTTCCAACGCTACTTTTGGAGAAGAGGGAAAGAGAAATAAATTTGGGGATTTTAGTAATTTAGAGTTTTTATTTATGCTGCTTGTTATATTTGATCATGTTTGAATTATAGGGTTATTTTGGTATTTTTATGTTTTAAGGTTTGCTTAATAATTTGCCTATTTAAAGGCTCCTTTGTAAGTTGAGAACTCAGTTTTTTGAGAATTATTGAATTATTACGTGAGTTTGCGAACTCTTCTCTCTTTGTATCTCTTCCCCCTCGTGTTCTTGCTGTTCTTAATCCCTCAATCTCTCTAGCCTACCTCCTTCAGTCTGATTTCTCACCTCATTCGTCTATTTTCTCACCTCCTTCATCAGTCTCATCTCATCTTCTCATCCTCATCCCCTTCTTTCTTTCTGGTTACTATTTACACACTACTCATCCTGCGTCAGTTATACTCGTTTAATTTCTCTCTTCACATATATTTTATGCTTTACAACAGTGGGGGTCAAAATCTGGTAAATCCTTAGCAAGTAACCTTAACAACTAAAAGTAAATCAAGATTAGATTTGCTAAAGAAAAATGAATTCCTCAATCATATACTTGTAAGAACAGGAGATGCTACTTCCTTGCAACAACTAAAACAAAGGCACAAAAAAACCAAGCTGCAAGAAGAGACTATCGATTAGAAGAAAAAGAGCAAGTGTAGGCATAACAAGTTTCTACGCCGGATGTGAATACCAAAGGGACAAAATCATTTCAGAAGAGCAGTCAAGAAATTGCAATTGTCAGCTAATAAGCATTCCTACAGGAAGTCATGACTCAAAATAAAAATATCATAGTTTAGATGAGAACTTTTGAAGACCATAAGCTAAAATAGTGGGGAGAAGTAGGGAGGCAGGAATTCTCAAAGCATGTTATCTATATGATAAGATTTGGGAGAAAACCAGCCCTTTTCTTTTACATTAGTAGACCTATATAGAATTTCAGCCAAAAAAGAGGCTGAGACTGCCGACTATGTGAAGTTGTCGAGTGGGGTGCTTTGAGATCCCAGATTAACCAAAAGTTCAGACTTCGGAATTGGGTCCGGTGAAAACCTTACAGAAGATTTTGGCTGTTACTGATCTAATAAGCAGAGAAATTTCTCCCCAACAAATGTTGTATATCAAAGGAAACAGAGGAGAATATGAACCATCCTTGGATTCATGGTTCAGCCGCAAGAGAGATTTGGTCCCTCCTCTATTCATTATTTGGAATTCAATACTTGCCTCAATCAGTGGCTCAGCATCTCAGGTTTTAAGTAGTTGGAGAGTGCTGGTGTTACTATGAAGCATGAAGGTTATGCCAGTGTGGGAGGCACTCCCAAGCCCCAACATGATGATGATGGTCCATTTGAAAGGAACCGATGCAATCTTTGATAACAAGTAGCTGCAGCTCTCAAAGTTGAAGCAATTGACGTTGAGCTTTCTCTTCTTTTGATTTCAGGAAGATAGTTTTCTAATTCTTTTTTATGGTATGAGGTTGGAACTAATGGATTACTTGGTTTTTGCTTTCTTATAACTCTTCACGCATGAGGTTTAAAGCTCAGGACTTATTAGGGAACTCAAATTGTTTGATATAGAAAATCATTCTCAATATAAAGAAAAATAAATAAAAGAGGCATTTCCATTACAAAATTCAAGATAGAAAATAAAAAGAAAAGTAGCATAACTACTTGACCAACTTCTCCAATTTAAAGACCGACATACACTTTATTCACACTAATTTAATTCCATTCGATTAACAAATTGGATTCGGGCTATAGCAGGAATATTTTAAAGAGTAAATTTAGTTGCACTGTCACTGTGTCCGTGCACTGCATGTATCACATCCACCAAGAATTTTCCAAACCATCAAATATAATAATCATCTATTAAAAGTTGTAATGAAGGTAATGCTAACCACTTGGTGAACTTTTCCAATTTAAAGAGGACTTGTCATCTGCATTACTCATGCAAATTTATATTCCGTTCCATTCACTCTACAACAAGAATACATGAATATGTAACAATGCACAAAAAGCATCATTTACCACTGCAACTGAGAGCAGCCAAAGGCTATTTCTTAAGCTCTTTCTCAGGAAAACTAAAAGACCTCCCTTGTCTCTAGGTAATAAACATAAGTAAAAATGAAGACTACAGCAACAAGCAACCTCACTATGTTCGTAGCGTGTTCTTGAGCAGGAAGGTGGAAGCTCACAGAATTGGACTCCCACAAAGAATTTGAATTTAAAAATGTGAAAAAAAGATTAACACTCACTTAATAATTAAATTTTAGCCACAAGCTGCAACATGCTTTCAACTAGTCAAGCAGGTAAACCCACTTACAGCTTAACACAAGCTCAGCCAAACACAAGCTAAGATTTTTTTTTCCCCCTGGGTAAACACAAGCTAAGATTCCAAAATATACAAAGTATAACCATCAGCAAATATAGGACAATTTAAATATTTGCCAACAGAAATATGAGAAACATACCGATTCTGACTGTAATAGATGCTTACTCTCCAACAGCTTCTCTTCCATCTCCTATTGCAAAGTAAGCAATTATGAATGGTTCGAGCATCATGGACAATGTGTACTTAGATACAAACCCGATGTCTTACCCGTATTCGACTTTTCTTAATTTCTTGGACAGCATCCTCACTGCACCCTTCAACTTGGGTTGCAGGTTCAGCTAATAAAAAAATGCGATCCAGGTAAACTACAACCGGCTCCTGGCCAAGCCTGCTCCATGGGACCTGCAAAACAAAAACATCACAAATATCTTTTCAAATTCATGTAAATATTACATCACTGCCAAAAAGTAAGGAGGTGTTGGTTTTGATAGTATTGTGGATATGGAGTTTATAATAGATTAAAAATATACAGTTGTCAGAATGAAAACTGAAATATTCTCTCTACGGTATTAACCAAATTGTAAAAAAATAAATAAATAAAACTGCATTTTATATGCAAGGAAACCTAATGAACAGTGCCACTGGTGTATATTGTCCAGGTTTGCCATCAAGCACTTCGAAAAATGAAAATGACGATATAAATAACCATTACTCCACATATTTGTAAGAAAATATTCAATTGAAGAGGCAGAGAAGGTGGCAAGTCACCACCATCCACCTCGGAAAGAAGAGGAATCGCCAAGAGGAAATCAGACAAGACTGCTCACAAGGCCCACTGAGGAACCCACAAATATGAGATCATTTCCATGCTATGGTGAAAGTTCAGGCTGAAAAGTATGAGGATGCAAGTTCGAGTATGAGAAATAACATTTAATGCAAAACAACCAAAGCTTAGTTCTATCTCCACTCTTCCCTCCTAGCACGACAATTGTTAAAAAGACGGATATTAGTCCATTCACAACAGGAACCTGGAATCTGAAGGGAAATTCTTAGAAAAGGTTAACAAACTAACAATATGCTGAATTCGTGTTGATGGACACTTGTTACAGAACAGCAAAGAAAGTGAGAATCTCTTTTGTAATAAACATAACATTTCCTGGGCTATCATTTATACCTACTTCTACAGAAACAAGTATGAACTTCGACTCTTTCACTAAATAGCAACATACTTTTCAAGATATATCTAACTATTTGCATAAATTTCTCCTCTTCGGAGAAAACTCAACCTCCAGTTATAAGTGCTAATCTGAACCTAATAGGATGGATATAAATCTGATACATCACAGAGTCAATGCCCAAGTGTTGACACAATTCCAATTTATATGCATTTTATCCAATATTCTTAACGGCTTGGTAAGGTTTAATCTTCCTTTGCCAAAGTTTAAAATAAGAGCCAGATAAAAATCTTGCCTTGCCTAAATAAATCATTACCAAATCTCCTTCTTCAGAGCTTTTGCCACATCCATTCTTGTCTGGATACTCCCTCTACCTTGCCTAATGGTTAGATATAAATCTGACAAATCATATGAAGGATCAATGCCAAATTTTTGACTGTTGAGGCAAATAAATTTGATAAGTGCTTTCTTCAATCTTCTTAGACCGAGTAAGGTTCACTTCGTTGCTATGTTTCAAATACAAGCCCGCTAGAAAATTAGAAATCTTCCCTTGCCTAAATAATCATTGCCATTTCTCCTTGAAAGATTTTGCCCGTCTTTTCTTAAATTCTTCAATTTTCAACCTGATTTAACAAGGGAACCTTTTCATTGCTTCAGCCATGATTTCACCCCTCGCATTACTCTTCCCAATAACAGGAGGCAAAATCAAACAAATCTGTTTGTCTTCCATAAACTATTTCAGAGACTTTTGCCTGTAGTCCAGTTCTTAGAATAGATATAAGCAAATTTTGCTTGTGTAGCAATTGCTCCCCGTTGCTTGGATGCCAACCAAGAACCGCAGGACTTCTCCCAAATTTCTGTTCATTGATGAGCTCAGTTTGTCCATCAGTTTAGGGATGGTAAGAACTACTATATTGCAGTTCAATTCTTAGCATTTCCCTTAGGCTCTCCAAAAATTGTGACAAAAACTTCGAGTCTCAATGCAATGTGGTTCTTTTTGGCACTATATGCAAGCTAAGAACTTCATGAAAATAAAGGTTTGTGATAAACGATGCACCATCTGTCTTTTTGCAACAAATAAATGAGTCATCTTTAGAAGTCAATCAACTACCAAGAAAATAGAACCCATTCCCCTTTGAGTTCCAGGCATCCCCTAGGGCCCTAATGCAAAATCCATGCGTTTATGCTGTTGAGGAATATACCATGGTGTTGGTGTATAGAAACTAGTGTTACAAGAGGGTCTTGTACCACATCAATTTGGGTGTTACAACCACCTAATAACTTAAACTTTTGGGTCGGACCGCGAATCACCTGACCCGTTACAGTTAGTATCAGAGCCACACCTAGTAATTGATCCGGTGTTATGCCAAGCGCCTAGCCCAAAGGTGTCCGGTTTTGCCCACCCGGGTAGGCAGGTGGCCCGACCGCAATAAAAGTGTTGTGAGTTTGGGTGGAGGAGAATGTTACAAAAAGGTTCTTGTCCCACATCGGATCCGAATGGGAAAGTAATTGGGTATTGGTTGGGTGTTAGCACCACCTAATAGCTTAAGCTTTTGGGTCAGACCGCAAAGAACCCAACCCGTTACGACTAGCATTTTGTACTCTTCCTTTTAGATTTTGGCATCTTCAGCATTTATCAACAAATCTCTACACATCAAGCGTCATCTTTGGCCAAAATAACTTTTGCTCGATCATAGCATAGGTCTCATCTATTCCAAAATGTTTGGCCAGATCGCCAATAGAATGATTCTTTCTTGCAGAGAAAAATATGGTATTCCATATGTATAGTCATTTTGCCCATGAAAATAAAGCCATTATGTAACATACATTACCTTAGTTGTCTGCTAATGCCAAAATCCAAATTGACCAAAATATGGATCAGTTGGATACAAATCTTTGAAAGAATCAAACAAATCAATAGTTTTAGATATGAAGTTCATCAATATGGTTCTCCTGTAAAGTGCAAATACCACTTTACTGTTAACTCCAGAATTATAATTTACCGCAAATATAAACTATTACAGGAACCCAAATTGCATGCCTCTCATTCAGCTTATTTTGGTTGTTAATATGCTTCAAGGTTCCATGCGCGATGCATCAAATAATATTGCCACTGCCTTAAGGCTCCGGCAATTGCAAAAATTCTCGATCATAATTGTTGTATCTCTACCATGAATCATTCAATTCGCACTATAGAATGCTATGGCCTTCCTTCTTGACTTAGAAAAACTCCAATTCCAGAAGGCAAAAGTGTCACACATAACCTCAAATATTTGTTCAAAGTCGAGTACCACTAGGACAATGTTGCACATCAATTTCCTTCCATAAGTTGGAAGCTTTCTTCAACCTGCTTTGACAACTCAACCCTTATTTTATACAATCGATTACAGGAGCAATTATAGTGATGAGGTTCAAGGTTAAATACCAGCAGAATGTAGCTATGCCATGGCAACCGTATACCTATCCAACTGTAGTTAATGTTATCCAACTTCTCGTGTTTGGAAGGTTTCTTCCGGTGTTGTGATTTCACCTCTTCCGGATTCTTTATTGCTTTTTCGCTTTCCCTCTACGAAGGAGGCTTCTCGCGTGCTTAAAGAAGGTCGTCGTGTTTGGGGGACGGCCACACTACGAATGGAACCTTGGAGCTTTAGGGTGGGGTACTCCGAGGTGTTGAAGAGTAAGGGCTTGAAGATTGTGACGTTGTACGGTCTCCCTCTCCATCTTTGTGGTCGGTGATCTATGCGGTGGTTTCTTATGGGTGGATGCTGATAAAGCAATCGACACTGAAAGGGTTCGCATCATAGTGTCCGATCTCTGCTACAAAGTGAAGGTGTGGGAAGAGAAGCCTCCGGAGCTTGTTCCGACAACGGATAGCTTGGAAGGAGGTGACGGTTCTCATTTGCTGAAGGAGACAGAATGGTTAAGGTGGCATTCTTTGGGAAAGATAGGTTTGGCTGAGCTTCAGAGATGGGAGGAATGGAGGGACGAATTATGGAAGCGAAACACGGAATGTTTTAGAAGATTTTTCACTCTGAAAAGGAAAGAAGGCTCCTCGGATGGAACTGATTTTCGACGGCAAGAGAAATCCCGGGAAAGGCATAGGGAAGGTGGTCTCATCGGGGTTGGCCGGCCGACGTTCAGGAAGATGTGGAGAAAGGAGCGTCATCGTGTTGTTCCTCACGTCAATCAAGCGCGTGGGAGAGGAAGCTTCGACGGCCATACACGTGGTTGGCGCAGGGGCTTTGGCCGTGCAAAGTGGATGACAGCTGCATCCACCTTTAATTCAAAACCTTGGGCTCCGAATAATAGTAAGGCCGATTTGGGCTTTAAATCAGTGGCTGGGCCTAATTATGGGCTGAGGGTTAAGGCTTCTTAATCCAATTCAATTTATTCTGGTGGGCCTGTGGATGGCAAGTCTGGTCTAATTAATGAAGGCATTTTATCATCTGGTTGTCCGGATGGAGGTGGAGCGGTCCACTTAATGGATGCAGTTTGTATTGACCAAGGATCCGTGGATTTGGGCTCTAAATTAAAGGAAGGACCGAGTTCTTTTATTGTTTCTTCTGGGCCAGACTTGGGCAACCGTTACGGGCCTTTATGTTTTGCTTTGGATAATTTTCATCCGCCCAGTGATGTTCTGGAAGGCTCTAGAAGAAACAGGCGTTCTAAAGGGCTGTTGCAGGGACACCGTATGAAGAAGAGAGTGATTTTTCCCCCTGTTCGCAAAAAATGGTCTAGAAAGGAAAAGCAGAAGTGGATTCCGGTTTCACAGGACTCTGGATCGGGTATGTCTTTTGTTTCGCCTTCTCATGCTCCTTCTATTCCTTCTTCTTCCTCTGCTCACCCTTGCGGGATGTCTCGAAGGAGTTTAATGCCGAAAAAGGGAGTGGTGTCTTCTGTGTCTAATTGCTTGTCTTCGGTTTTTGAAAGAGAGCCGGTGCTTGCTCTTGAGAAAAGACCTGATGATGACGGTGGTATTGAGACGGGTTCTTCTTGGTTGTGTGATGTTAGCAGTGACGAAATTACTGTGTGTGGGGGGCGAGATGTGAAGATAAGAATTGACGATGTTTCAGCTGCTATACTCTTGAACGCATTGAGAGCTCATCTAGTCTCGAAAGGTTCTATTACCGACCAGAATGATCGAATGGCTGATGAGGTGTATGGTACGCCACTTTCTAACTGCTCTCCTTCTATGTCATCTGTTGAGTATGGGGAGGATGGGTCGTG